CCCCCCTCCACATTCTTTGCAAAATGTTCTTTCCATGTATAAGACGACCCTCAATTTTTAATCTAAAGATTTTAGACGAAAGTATCATCTTATACATGGAAAAATATGGCAAAACCTAATCTTCTGTAAGAAATAAGGGACGTGGGGATTGTGAAAGCAAGTATGACTCTCCAAGGACTAGGTGTTTATGTGTTGGAAGCCAAGGAGGCTTCTGGCTCTCTAGAGATTGCCCATCCTCTGCTATAGAGCCTTTTAAAAAATGACTCACAATATGTAAACATCTAGTATATCTATAATTAGATAATAAATTTATAATAAGACCATGTATAAGACGCCCCTTTTACCATAATAAGATAATAAATTTACCATAAATTTCTTTGAACTATTTCATTTGTCTCAAAGTAAATCACTGCCCGTCTTTCTACAAAAATCCCATTTGAAATGCCTGGACATTTTTTTCTTTTCCAGAACTTTGAGTCAAAACAGTGAGATGACTGGTTTGCAATAAAGAATAGCCAAAACAGCACTTGGGTTTTAAAATAATTTTGTTTTTTGTTTTGTTTTGTTTTTTGCATAAGAATGGAGAAGGCTCTTAATATAATTTGAAAAACAAAAGATCAATCTTAACTGTCTCTTTCTTGTTTTCCACCAATGCTTGAGAGAATCTCAATCTCAGCCTAATTTGAGTTATAAAAAAACTAAACGCTTGCATCACAAGCTTTTAGGCTCATGATAAAGGAATAATACAAGTATTGTCATTAATGTGAATTTTTCTTTTGACTAATACAGATGCTCCCAAATGATTATGTCACAGTGACATTTTTAGGATGTAGACTATGTAAAGAAAACAAGTAGCTGAATTTCAGTACATTACAGTAAACAACAACTTTGTATTTTACCGTTTTCATTTCCTTCAAGTAGCATATAATCCTGTACATATTGCCACTTGTACTGTTACAGATGGTATAAGGGAACATTATTAAAATATTATTAAAATCAGTGTTGCCTTGTCTGCTGTAACCTACTCTGATTTCTTGAGCTAGGACAAATTACAAATTAAACTGAGTTATTTCTGCATAAAATTATTTGTTACAGCACTTCTTTATGTCATCTACTGATAATCAGCAAAGGAAAGTCATGTTGTGCTGTCAGGTTGCTTCCAGTTTATGATAACAATTACCTCCAAAATGGTGCTTAGGTAGACAATCAGAAATATACGTAAAGTTGTCAGGAAATTACAGTTATTCTTACACACTTAGCGAAATATGCGATTTTTAAAAAGCAGCAGGGAAATGGGTGAGATTAGCTCAAGTCTCAGCATTACACCCCCGTTCACAGTGACTAGCACTTTATGTAATAAGAAAACACTCTAGAAGCAGTTTAAGTAGAAAAAAGGCATTTTTACTTACCATTATGATTTGCAGTTACACTCAGAGGAATGAAAATGAAAAAATATGGAGTCTCACCCATGTGCTTGCTGCATGGTTGGAGGTCTGAGAAAGAAGAGAGGACTATCACTAGGACAAACAATGGAAATAAGCACAACAGGAAGCAGGTGTGTGAGCTTCCCTCAAATGCCAGAGGTGCGAAAAAACTTCATTAATAGGTTAGTGGCAAAGAACACTGTGAAGCTCTGTCCCATTGATACTCAGTGATATTGCAAGCAAGATTGTTATTATGTCAGCAAAAAACATGCTTATAACTCTTTAAATTATTCCAAATCTTGTTTTGTGTCATCAAGTTGTCTCCAACCTATGGCAATCTTATGAATGAGTGACCTCCAAAATGGCCCGTCCTCAAGAGGCCTTTCATGGAGTCAATTCATCTCATATTTGGTCTTCCTCTTTTCTTGCTGCCTTCAATTTTCCCAGCATTAATGTCTTCAAGCGAATCTTGCCTTCTCATAACATCAAAAGTAGGGCAGCCTCAATTTCATCATTTTTTGCTTCCAGAGAAAGTTCAGGCTTGATTTGATCTAGGACCCACTTGTTTGCATCCCAAGGTATCAGCATCATATTTTGAACAAATCATTTTTTTCCTCTCCGCTTTCTTCATTGTCCATGTTTGGGAATACAATAGTGTGAATGATCTTGGTCTCCATTGACACATCGTTACAATTGCTTATCTAATTCCTTCATTCTTACCCTTTCAAGTCTCAGCCGCCTTCTGATTTCAAGGCTACAGTCTGCATTTGGACTGATGACTGAGCTAAGGTTAAAAATATTTAACAATTTCAATTTCTTCATTTAAATTGTTAACAATTTTGCTTACCTATTATACATTTTATAAAAAGCTATCCAGTTAAAAAATAGATTGGTTTTCTGAAAACGGAGGATTGAATGAATACCTACTGTGAAACAAAATACAAAGTAACTAGAGATGAACACTTAACGTGGTTTGGCAGTGCAGGGCGGCAGATTGGGCTTGCTGGCGTTGCATGGGTGCCCTGGATTCTGCTCCATGTTTCCTTTCACAGGCACCCCATCAGAAGCTGTCACAGGCTTCTCTGCCCTTTCTCCTCCTCTTCATGGGCACCCATGGGAGGAGGTGGGTGTGGGAGGAGTTGGGGCATGGAAGCTGGGGCACCCATGCAACACCTGTGGGGCAGATCTACTGAACCGCATTGAACCACAGTACAGTAAGTACCCATCTTTAAGAGTAACCGTTCAGGTCTTTGCTGCTGGGGTCTGAATTACAGGTGCTTTATTGAGGTCCTGTAGGGTTTGTTCAGAAGACGCATTTGTCCTTGAGTTAATCCTGCCTTAGCTACAAACTCCCAGGTGAATTGGGTGATTTCTCTCAGTAAAGGGGTGTGGCATCTGCCCAGGTCATGAATAGTAATAAGCTATTTGCATGTACCAATGAGAGTGCTGAAGAGGCGGAGTCACAAGACGTAAGAGTTTCTGCAGGAGGAGGAGTGGGGATCGAGAGTTTTAGAGAGAGTTGAAGGTTGAGAGTGGATGAAGGAGAATGTTTAAGAGTTAACAATATCGCTTGTTCTGTCAACATCTGTAACAATAAACAATTTCCATTTGGTTCTTTTAAAATGACACATTGTTTGGACCTCTGTGATTAATAATAAACAATGTTGATGTAATCAACTGGTGGCAGCTGAAAGACATGTAGCTTGTGCCCTGTGTTTGGTGAAACAATCAAGGGACAGGTGGGAACCTGACAGGGTGCAAAGGCAATAAAGAGACGGAGCTATAATACAGAACCACATAAATTAGAACTATGTGGTTTTATGAAGCAATTTCTTAGAAAAAGATCTGAGGGCTTGTACAGATGAGCAGATATATGGCATGAATGAGCCTGGGTAAGTCCGGTTCATGCTGAGGGGAGGCTGGAGTTTATACACTATAAATGCCAGGTCCTTGAAAATGGCTTCTCTAGGCTTCCCAAGAAATAACGCTTTATAAATTACTTCCTTGTTGCAGCTTTGCTTTTGGTGTTTCTCACACCTCCAATTTTTAAAGCTAATAAAGATTTCCAGTCTGGGAACCTGTACCATGGAAATGACCTCTACACAAAAAGAGCTGGAGTGTTAAGCTATACCCTCCACAACAGAGGCCAGTTGCAGAGTAATTCAAGCCTCCCAAAATGTTTCATATCTGAAGAACTGAATTGTAATCAATCACCACTCACACTGAAATACATCTGTTAATCTTAAAGGAGACACAATACGTTTGTTTTTCCTTAAGCTTAAGAATCATTAAATACAAAATAAATACTCCCTTTGTGTAGTTGGTTTATGCCTTAGACATCACCCTATACAGTATGTAACAGAAAGGTCTGGATGAAAGCAATTGCCTCCTTTTAAAGTTCAATTCTGACAAGATGTTGAATGTAGCAAGTCCTGTCTTACTGATAAGAAGCGATTCTGAACACGTGGCCACTTTGCAATGCAGCCAACAGGTGGCACACCATCAAAATAGGTTGCAAACAAAATCTGTTTTTCCGCAAAGGTGTGGTGTTTGCTTTGGACTGGACAGGCCTGTTGGGAAAAAGTAAATATTATACCTTTGACTTTTAGCTCTGTTATATAGAAGAGATTGGTGATAGTAGTGATGATGGTAGTGGTGACATTCACCAAAAGGAGGTAATGAAACTGGCTCTTTAATGTGTTGATTAGAAAAAGAAAACGCAGATCTGGCAACCTCTCACTGTTACCAGTTTTACAAGTGGCCACTTTCTTCTCGTCTCTCCAGCTTCCACTGCTATCATTTCACCCTGGAGCATAACATAAAAAGGAAAAGAAAGAGCCCAGCCCACAATCCAAATATAGCCAGCTCATTTTCAGAAAGCAATATCCTGAAATATTCTAGTTCTGCGTCTCCTGCCTGGCTTCTCAGCTTGAGCTGCCAGTGCTCCCCAAAGATCTACATGTGGGCCTTTGGTTAATGTGTTCTCCATTTTCCAGGTAAATACCTCAGCAGCGTTTTAATAAGATCTTATTTCTGTGATGGAAGCTAGCGAAGGAATTCTAAAGGTGAGTTACTGTTGTGTTTCTGAAAGCCCTTTAAGGAATTGCTTACGATCATAAATTCTTACATATACTGGGTGGAGAAAATCCTTTGAGCCTTTTGAAAGGTTTAAGCAGTGTTTTTAACTGTGGCGGGGGGGGGGAAGGCAGCTGTAAATAAAAATAAATGTCTTCTGCCTCAGGGTAGGTAAGATGTGTTTGACAAGGTATATCATTTTGTTGTAAAATAGAAGTTTAAATTATAAGGTGTATATTCTATTTTGAAGCACAAAGCTGTTCAAAATCTATGAATTTTCGCCCTACTGTATTGTTTGCTGCAGCCATTGTCTTAGCTTATTTTTGTTGGTCAGCAATTCATCTGCTTAACCTGTCTGTCTGTCTGTCTGTCTGTCTGTCTGTCTGTCTGTCTGTCTGTCTGTCTGTCTGTCTGTCTGTCTGTCTGTCTGTCTGTCTGTCTGTCTGTCTGTCTGTCTGTCTGTCTGTCTGTCTGTCTGTCTGTCTGTCTGTCTGTCTGTCTGTCTGTCTGTCTGTCTGTCTGTCTGTCTGTCTGTCTGTCTGTCTATCTATCTATCTATCTATCTATCTATCTATCTATCTATCTATCTATTTATTTTCTGTCCCACCCATATAGACCAAAGGTCTACTCTGGGCGATTTAGATACCTAAACCATTGAGCTATCCAGCCAGCATATCATAAGCCCTTCTTTAATCTAATTTGAGAATAGCAAGAGAGCATGGCTGAATCTGTCCTTGTTACTGCAGTCACCAGAGAAACCCAAGCCTGGTTGTACCAAGGGTTTTCTTTTTTGATCACTCTAATGTTGGAAGAGTTGTACATAGAGCTGGAAGTCTATACAATATAGAGTGGTTAGACTCAAGCTCCCATCATCCCTCCCTTTTGGCCATGCTGGCTAGAGTTCCTGGGAACTGCTATCCACCAGTACTTGGAGGACTATAAATTCCTTGTCCCCCCCCCCCAAATATATGTGGCCACTGCTGTCCTCCCAGGCTTGACCAACGGAGATCTTTGACACTGTTAATCCATGAGCCTAGGAATGTCCTGCATCTAGTCTTCTGATTTTATTCATCCCACCCCCCGCAGAGTTTAAAAGTACTGATGCCCCATCTTCAGTTTGTGCAATAGAGGGGCTGAGGGAAAAGCATCCCCCCCCAATATATGTGGCCATTGCTGTCCTCCCAGGTTTGACCTATGGAGATCTTTGACACTGTTAATCCATGAGCCTAGGAATGTCCTGCATCTAGTCTTCTGATTTTATTCATCCCACCCCCCGCAGAGTTTAAAAGTACTGATGCCCCATCTTCAGTTTGTGCAATAGAGGGGCTGAGGGAAAAGCATGCACTGCCATATATCTCCCCAGTTGTCATCAGTGAGTAACTGAAGTGTCAGGGCAGAACAGGGTTCACTTACCCAGATCCTGTGGGATGATGCAGAGGAAGTGGATAGCCAAGCTAAAACAGAACAACAACAAAAAATATGATCACAGAGGTCAGTAGCATAAAGACAATGGTTGCTTCACATCAAGATGGTGGTAACTGGCTGATTTCTAAATGCTAAATTTATAACAGCCTTTAAGAGGTATATTCAACAGGTGGTATCCATGCACTTTTTATAAAAAACAAGGCTGATTTCCCTCTTATCTGATCTAGAGGTTTTGTTTTCAATTTAGGAAACATAATGATAAATTCAAAAGTCCAGTAAGTCTGATTAAGAAAAAACAAACCGAAAAAAGACAGAGGTAAAACCCCAGTGATGGTAATATATATGGGTATTTCCTCAAATGGTTTCAGTTGAGTGATTATCTCCTTTTGGATGAACAGGAGGAAGAAAATGATGGCAATAATCTGGGAGCTAAAACCTCAAAGGAACATAAAACGCCACGCAAGGTTATTTACTTTGCAAATGGTGAATCTATGGAAGAGTACAGTACAGAGGAAGAAGATGCTGAGGAGAACAAACCTGAGCCCCTTATTAACACTGTAAGATTGCTGTTATTTTTTAGAAGTTGCATGTCAGTTCCAAAACAGGTTAAAGCAGCTAACAAGTGTAGTAAAATGTATTACAGAAAATGTTAAATTCGCCAAAAACACCAACAAAAGTTATTTTTCTTTCATGCTTCCCTACCCCACCCCAACCCATCCCACACCTTAACTTTTTTAACCATCTGGCCTGACAGCAAGTTCTGAAGCATGCATATTTTGCAAGTTAGGGTTGATCCTAAGAACGGTGTTGGCCACTTAGGGCCAAAAAAAATGAGTGTAAAATCTCTGGGGTAAAGGTCATTCATTCCCTTCCATAGGTAAAGACAAGACTTTACTGTTTTCAAGTTGACCTTCCATTTTTGCAATACTGCATCCCCATCCCTCTTTCTTGAATACTGTAGGTAGCCAACCATTATTTTCTCTGTTTATTGTGGACTGCAACTCCCAGAAGCCTTCACCACCAACTATGCTGGCTGGGGTTTCTGGGAGTTGCAGTTCAAAAACATCTGAGTAACAAAGGTTAAGAACCACTGCTGTAGGCAACCAGTATTTTCTCTGTTGATTTACAAATGGACGTGTTCTTTTCTGCTTTTGGCACATATACATTTTCTACTAACACTTGTTTTGCTAGTGCAATGGTTTGTAATGTTTAGTCAATTAAGGGGCATAGCAGTTTTCAGTCTGGATTTGGTGAGTAATGGGAAATGCATGAGTTAGCTGGCATTAAAGCCATAGACAGGAAATGGCTGAAGGCTGAGAAACAGTCATAAAGAACAGCGGCCTCCCTTTACTTGCCAGCTAGTAGGGTGGCTTGAACCCAACCCACTGCCCATGAGGAGGAGGCAGGCAGGCAGGCAGGTGGCTGCTCTGCTTTTCTGCTGAAGTGGAAGAGTAAAAGAGGCAGGAGCAGCTTCTGGGGCCTCCCAGCCATTTGCCTGTCTTCTTTCCCTCTGGGTAACATAGTAGGTTGGGAAGAGTTGAGCCAGCTAGACCCATCCTCAAAGAACAGAGGCAGCTTCCATTCACTCACTTGTGTTCACTCTTTGAGGGTGTAGTAGCTACGGTACCAAAAAAATTCACCGAGTAGACAAGGGGAGGCAGACACATTCTCTTTACAACCTAGAACTACAGCTGAAGAAAGAGAAGCCGGACAGTTATCATGTCCAGAATCTAGATCCTGAAGGAGAATAACTGCCTGTTGCACCCTCTAGAATGCCAGTGACCTACTAAATGAAAAAGGCCATGATTGATGATGGGACTGTATGTTGCATACTGATTTGAACCAACCTGAAGGGGGGCAATAACACTGGGGAAAGTTTGAAGGCAACAGCGGAATACTAAATATTAAATGAATTTATTCCGTAAAGGAAGACGTAGCCTTGCATTTAGGGACGTGGTGGCGCTGTGGGCTAAACCGCAGAAGCCTGTGCTGCAGGGTCAGAAGACCAGCAGTAGTAAGATCAAATCCACGCGATGGAGTGAGCACCCGTCACTTGTCCCAGCTCCCGCCAACCTAGCGGTTCAAAGGCATGCAAATGCGAGTAGATAAATAGGTACCACCTCGGTGGGAAGGTAACAGCGTTCCGTGTCTAAGTTGCACTGGCCATGTGACCACAGAAGAATGTCTTCGGACAAAACACTGGCTCTATGGCTTGGAAACGGGGATGAGCACCGCCCCACCGAGTCGAACACGACTGACTAAAATGTCAAGGGGAACCTTTACCTTTTTTAGCCTTGCATTTACAGGAGATGAGCAGGGCTGCTGAGGAAAAGATATTTTGAAAGTCCTTCATTCATAAGACCAACGTAATTCAGAAGCAACTTTATGGCCATAACAATAACAACAGCAAAAATAGCATTCTTTAGCTGCAACTTTCTGGTTTGTATATAAATAGAACACTTTAATGTTACACCTGCAAGCTATGTGCCCAGATACAGTACTTAGAAGCCCTGAATCTGAGGCACCAGTTTCAGTACACCTTCATTCCATTTGCAAAGGGATTTGTTCCCTTCTGGCTCCTGAGCTCATTACTTGGAGAACTGTGCCCTCCAAAAAATTTTAAGATAACAGTATTTGCCATTCACAGTCTAGCGGTCGAAATAGTAAGAGAATTGTATGATGTAGTCGTAAAATACTGGAAGGAGATGATGAACTGATAAAGTTATGTCTTCTGCACCAAGAGTTCAGGATGCATTGTTCATATATGAGATGTGCCCCAATCCTGAACAGGACAGGAAAATAAGATAATGATCTCTGACAAAACCGGTGTATCCCTTTTCTGCTGTTTCAGTAGGAGAATGTTTCAGAAATATAGTGCAAGTCTATACATGTGTTAGAATGTTTTGAAAAATTAGGTTTCAACAGAGGCCACTCTTTTACTGCAACATTGATCTGCTTTCCTTCATTTTGAAATGGATGTTGACAAGCCCTCACTCAAGTACATGCTAATGCTGTTAATTGCGTAGTAGGAGCCACATATAAGTTCCTATATTCTTGATTTATTCGTATCAGAAAGTTGCACAATTTAAAATTATGGATGTATATGAAATACAGGCAAACGTTTAAAGCAATTTAAAATGTTAAAATAATTAGATTATTTTTGACCAGAGGCCGGGCTACTTCAATAACATTATCTTGGCCATTTACTATATTTTCTTTTGTGAACATGTAGGGCATAAACTACATGAACATAAAGGTGGCATTGATGGAATTTCTCCGCAGTCACATACAATTTGTCCTGTATCCAAGTAGTCTCATTCCTATATTGTCAGTGGTAAATTGTTGCCTTTATTTCACAGGCCAACCTTTCATGGGGTGGTTATCTGAGATTTTGGGCGCTTCGAATTGCAGCAACGAGTTTTTTTAGTAAGTTTGTGTTCATGTGCACTTCCTTCCTTCCTTCCTTCCTTCCTTCCTTCCTTCCTTCCTTCCTTCCTTCCTTCCTCTCTCTCTCTGCCCATAGTGTTCAGATTAGTAGCCCAAGATCTGATAATAACATCACTGGTTATTAGTGCAAAAGTCAGTGTTTCGAGTGTTTTCTTGAGTGTTTCTTTTTTCTTTTTGAGTGTTTTTCTTGAGTGTTTTCTTCTCTAATCCTATTTATCTTTTTGGGAATTATCAGAGAATAAGATTCAGGTGATGTGGAAAATTCATGTGTTCCCATTGTCCAGTTATGACTACTGCATGCTCTGATGTTTCCCTCCCATCACTTATCCGAAGGGAACAACTGCTGTTTTTTTGTTTTTTCTTCAATATCTTTTACAGCTTGTGAATTTCTTGGTGGGAAGTTTGCCGCACTATTTGGGCTCACTCAAGCCAAATATCAATACGCAATAGATGAATACTACAGGACACAGAAAAAGGTTTGCTCATGTTATTTATTTATTTATTTATTTATTTATTTATATATATTTTATTTTATTTTATTTTATTTTATTTTATTTATATCCCGCCTATCTAGTCGGGTGAGGACCACTCTAGAATGTTACATTTAAGGTTCACGTAACAATGTTCTCAATAGCTCAGGTCAAAATTGTTGTGAGGAGCAATTTCAGTAATGCCACTTCCATGACATTGTATTCTCAGACAAAATTCCAAGTTGTAAACAGCTGTAATTTCTGCCCCCACCAGTACCTTGTAATATGCCTTGAAAAGTTAGGTTTTTACAAGGCAAAAAGAAGTAGCAAGAGTTGCACTATTAAGGTATGGAAAGGTTCAGGAGGCAAGGAATTTTGGACAAAAGGGATGGGGAAGAAACATCACTCAGATTGAACCCTTAGAATTAAGTTCTGCTAAGTTTCACAGAACTTTTATTCCAACTCACTTTGGAGTCTCAGAAAACTTCTCACTAATTTCCAATAGCCACAGAAGCTTTGATTGTCTCATCCCAGCACACTCACCCACAGCAACTTATTCCACTCCCTTAATCAAGCTGTCCAGCCCAATCTTTTCCAGCACTCAGAACCAAATCTGCATCAGAGTCTGCGGTGCTCAGAAGGACAACTCAGGTGACTAACCAAAGCTTAAGCACAAGGACATTCCCTGTATTGGAGTAACTAATTGAGAAACAAATGGCTGGATGTTTCCATGTGTGGCAATGATGTTTAAGCAAAATCAAGAAAGAACAAAACAGCTTGTGGATTAGTTTTTCAAAGAGATGACGATCAAGGGGGTTCTAGCCACTAAGGTGCATGGAGTCTTAATCAATCCTCCATAAATGTAATGTAGTCATACTCTCATAATGACCAAAGAACATATAAACAACTCTGCTTTGTGCTTCAGCCATTATAAGAGTCTAATATGAAATACGGCCTACACAGCATAGTGGTCATAGTGCTAGACTGAGATGTGGAGGCTTCAGGTTCAAGTTCCTACTGAGTCACAAAATTCACTGGGTGACTCTTGGCCAATCACTGTCTCTCAGACTGGATTACCTTATTTTATCCTGGCTGTGAGGATAATATGCAGAGGAAGAGAACCCATATACACTACATGAATCTCACTGGAAGAAAGGTAGGGCGTAAATGTCACCAATAAATAAATGGCAAGTTTATTGGGAAATGTGATGGTTTTCTCCTGATACAGTTCATTGCAACAGCTACGGTACTTCCCCCTGCCACACCATTTCCTAGTATAACGGGCATCCTCAGTCTTTGATCTCTTGTTGGTGCTGGTGTTGCTGCTCAAGGTCACATAGAGTTTAAAGGTGATTTAGTTCTTCAGGGCTCCAACAGCCTGCCCATCAATGGTCTCTGACTGAAGTAATTGGCTTTTCCAGGAATTGGATAAATTAATTGCCACCCAGGGTTCAACACAGCTGGGCTATCTGGTGACATAACTCCCCAAAGACTGTCTGGAGGCTTCTGCAGTAACAAGTTTATAAATACTGATACAGCGACAAGGGAGATAAAAAGCACAGTCTGCCTTAAAACACAGACAAACACTACAACCTTTTAATATTTTGCCAGTCTTACCTGGAAACCAACTGCGCAATTGTGATTTATGGGCCAGAACGCTGGCCCTATTGAATGACTTCCTTGGAACAACTTATCCTCTCTTTCTCTGGCAACTTTCCAAAGAATTAAGAGCAAAATGACCTCACCTCATGGTTATTTAAATTGCTGCCACTGATTGCTGTTACATGGCTATTTTCTTGGAAGCTGTTCTTCAAAAGCTTGCCCTGGTGTTCTCTAGTGTGAAGCAGCTGAGCATGAAAAACATGCAGATGGAATGCAATCAATCTGAAGAGGGGAAATCTGTAAAGAGTAAAGAGAAACCTTTGGCCAAAACAAACAAACAAGCAAACAAACAAACAAAAATCATTCTCCTCTTCGGTTGTTGAGAACACTACAAATTACCCCACTCTTTTACAGGGGGAGGAGAATACTTTTTTGAGGTTCCTTGTCCGTGTGTGCAAGCACAAGCCAAGATTTACACCTCTAATTTATAGTATTATTTACTAAATATATATATTTTGGGGGGGTGGAATATATTTCAGGAAAGTGAAAGTGATGAAGACGGAGAAGAGATGCCAGAAACAGAGGCAGCATTTCCACCAAATGAAAAAGAGCATTTACGGATGCAGAGCCTAAGATATGGCTCTATTCATTGCAGAGAGATGTCTGCATCTTCTCAGGAAACTACTGTTGTTAATGAACTCCAAAAAGATAGCCTGCCAGGTTTTAAATGAACTCTAGCCACTGGAAAACAAAGGCAGCATCGTGGAGTCACCCCGTCTGGCAAGTTCAAAATGTGTCCTAAAAAAGGACAAACTATTAGCCATGAAAGAAATGGCACGGAAAGAACTGGGGACAGACAAAATTACCTCTTCTGCTTTTTTAATTATCTTGGGAGTTTGTGAAGATATGGAGAATATAAATGTGAAATGGTTTCAATAAAAACATACATGCACCCAACCTCTATCACTGGAATGGGATGCTGAAGTTATTGATTCATATGAAGAGAATACAGTACATAGAATGATTTTCTTGGGATAGTCTCAGCACATTTCTCCACAAGATGGTGCTGCATAACAAGCTCCAGTGTTGACACATTATAAAGAGAGAGAGATTGTAAAAACTGAAGACAGCCACAGCTGATCCATGAGAGAAAATCCATACACTTATTAAAAATTATTATGTGCCATAGAATTGATTCTGACTTACTGCAATATCTCCTAGTTTTTCTGAGATATAAAATATCCAGAAGTGATCTACCAGTCCTTATTGCTTGAGGCACTCTGGGCTATGAACCTTGTTGCAGGAACGATAACCCACATCAGCCATACAGGCCCTAGGTTAGCAGGGCCCATTCCTGGGAATCCCTGTCAGGATTTGCTTCTAGAATCCCTGAGCCATTTTTTAGTTAATACTGTGACAACCCCAGACCTACTGGAGTATGCCACACTTTAACTATGCTGCCACCAACCATTCCCTATAAGGAGTCACACAGACCAGGAATGGATTTTTAACAAATAAAAGAACAAGGTTTATTTAAATAACAAACAGGGTAAATAAAAAGATCAAGTAAATAAGATACTGTAACGTGGCAAAGTCCCAAACATAGACATACAACAGTTTGGTTCACACAGAACACTTTAAAGTAAAGCACAGACCCTGAACCTATCAGTTCTGGCTACCCAGATAGAAACCTGAACCTATCAGGTATGTACAAACTGACACACAGTTGTACTCAGTCTGACACACAGACTCCCACTCCAGCTTCAAAGAAATGGCACGGAAAGAACTGGGGACAGACAAAATTACCTCTTCTGCTTTTTTAATTATCTTGGGAGTTTGTGAAGATATGGAGAATATAAATGTGAAATGGTTTCAATAAAAACATACATGCACCCAACCTCTATCACTGGAATGGGATGCTGAAGTTATTGATTCATATGAAGAGAATACAGTACATAGAATGATTTTCTTGGGATAGTCTCAGCACATTTCTCCACAAGATGGTGCTGCATAACAAGCTCCAAAGAGAGAGAGATTGTAAAAACTGAAGACAGCCACAGCTGATCCATGAGAGAAAATCCATACACTTATTAAAAATTATTATGTGCCATAGAATTGATTCTGACTTACTGCAATATCTCCTAGTTTTTCTGAGATATAAAATATCTGGAAGTGATCTACCAGTCCTTATTGCTATGAACCTTGTTGCAGGAACGATAACCCACATCAGCCATACAGGCCCTAGGTTAGCAGGGCCCATTCCTGGGAATCCCTGTCGGGATTTGCTTCTAGAATCCCTGAGCCATTTTTTAGCTAATACCTTTATCCAGACCAACTGTATTATGATATTTAGGGAAGTATTACTCAAAAGATTTACATATATACAGCCACATGAAAATGATTTTGTCATCTAAAGACAGACTTTTCATGATGAGGGTTCCGTTCCCTCCAGCCACTAGGCAACACTACAGAAACTGGCTGCTAGATATTGAACCTATAGTCACTGTCGGTATTCTCTGCATTTATTTTCCCCCTGTCTTCCCTCAATATATGTTACAAATGCACACCTAACATTCTGGCTAATATTTCCTGTGTCTGGTGAAGCTGTCAGTCACAAAAGCTTATGCTATACCGAATCTGCTATTCTTTGAGGTCCTACGGGAATCTTTGGTGCTACAGGCTACACAGGTCCCCTTCTGTAAATGATCAAACCCGTAAGAGCTCTGCCAGAAGGGAAACAGGAAAGTGCAAGCGTATTGCAGAGGTCTGTGAGGAAAAATGTGGTCGCCATGGTGAATGTCATAGGGACTCCAAGGTTACAGGGGATTGGGAGCTCCATAAGTATAAATCCTCTTTGTTCAAAATAGACAAGCATGTGAGCCAGCAACTGACAGGTTATCAATTCTCTGTGAGAATTAAATTTGTTACCCAGAGCAAGAGAGTGAAGGCTAATATTTTTACCAGTGTCAAGGATGAACAGAGAAGTATTCTTATCATCTCATTCAATTCTTTCCCATTCACATCAGAGTACAGAAACAACTTGGCACCTATGGAAAGAAGACAGTTTTATCTGGACCATGATAAGAGCTCTATGTCAAGGGCACCCTTTCACATTTCAAAAATGATAACATTTTTTTCTTAGTCTAAGAACACATTCTTCAATGCATCTAAGATGTAAGGGTTTTCCAGAGTGTTGGCTGAGATTCTGTTCAATCTTGTCTATGTCTCTCTTTTATAATGCTTTTTTTGTAGTTTAGTCGTTTAGTCGTGTCCGACTCTTCGTGACCCCATGGGCCAGAGCATGCCAGGCCCTAGTTACTCACAATTACAGGCCAGAATCCTATTGTAAAATATTCTTGTCAGAGTGTTGATTTTTGACCAAAAACTTCTAGCTACACAGCAGATAGTGCAAGCAGGGATAAAAGGCAAAAATTCTACATACAATTGCGTGGGCTAAAATCTAATTGAACTGGGTGGAAATGTCTGAGGAGACAGGCATAGGATTGTAGTATATGAATTTAGCTCCTCCTGTGCTGAATCCCAATTGTCATATTCAGTGGACTAACTACAGTGGACCCTTGACTTACAGACGGCTTGACTTACATAAAAGGCAAAAATTCTACATACAATTGCATGGGCTAAAATCTAGTTGAACCGGGTGGAAATTTCTGAGGAGACAGGCATAGGATTGTAGTACAGTATATGAATTTAGCTCCTCCTGCGCTGAATCCCAAATGTCATATTCAGTGGACTAACTAACATTTATTGACAGACTTTTTGACTTGAGAACCGCCTTCCAATACGGATTAAGTTCTCAAGTCAAGACCCCACTGTAACATTTATTTGGCTTATTGATTTTGATGGACCTACTCTAAGTATGACTAAATCTGAATCCAGCCCATTGGAAGCAATGGGACAAGTTATAAGCATCATGTCCTACTACTTTCAATCAAGCCTATATTCAACATAGCAACCCAATGTGTTTGTGTGCTTGTACATGCCTATATTCCTGCTATATTGTTTCCTCTTAGCACATAATCCTTCTAGCATTTCAGTGGATGAAAATTAGAGCTGAATATTCAGGGAGGGCAAGTGTTTGGATTACAGATATTGGTACTCTTAAGCCTCCACCTCCCTAGACAGCATAGGCAATGGTAAGGAATGGTAGGTTGTGGCCCCGAAACATTTAGTGGTCTACATTTGCCCACCTCTAGGTCCAGTGCTCAGAATAGTCAAGTTTTAAAATAAACATATTTAAAAACTGCCTCACAATGACAGCTGCTCCATTCTAATTTGGTGCCTCTGAAACAGAACAAAATCGTACCCACTTCCAACGTTTCAGGTACAGAAGCGAAACTGACTAGCAATTGAACATTGCATTACAAATGTAAATACGATAGTACCCCACCATATCTCAGGGAGTAACTAGTTTCTTTCATCCTGCTAGTTCTTTCTTCCAAATGATGGGAATAATCAGCAAAGGGCTTGGATAGAACAGTTGGAAGGCTACCACTGCTACTTTTCGGCAACTGCCAATTGGAATTAGTGGTCTCACTCTGCCTAATGGCTGTGCTGGCTCTTACTTTCATTAATCAGAGACCAGACACCATATTTTTTTATGCATACAATAAACGAACATTGAAGGCATTCAAGATAAACTTAGACAACCACCTGGCAGATATCTTTTGAGCTGTATTCCTGCACTGAGCAGGAGGTTGGACTTTATTTCCTTATAGGGCCCTTCTAACTTCACTAGCTGTGATTCTACAAGCACATATATATAGCCTATGGAGAGCAAACTCCCATTTTAAAATAAGCATTCTCCTTTCCGTTACATACAAAAGAAAATTCTTTCTTAAGGTGATGTCTCTTATAACACCTGTGTTTATAATAAAAACTAGGTTCGATCCAGACTTAATCACACTTTGAGCAGACCCATTGATTTCATTGAGAAAGTGGGTAATAACTAACCTAAGCCCCAGGGATTCCAATAGGTCCACCCTAAACATGACTACGAAGCCAACCTATTATTTATATCCATATGCAAATGTACAGAAATGTAATTGATCAATTAGTCAGCTAAAACTTCTGTATGATTACTTGATTTTCATTTCTTTAATCAGTGAAGTGCATTTTGTTTAATAAATATAGATTTTTGCAGACCAAGAGAGAGTCTGCTAACAATCAGACAACTGGAAGGGATGGAAACAACTGGATTTACCCTAACTCATAAAAAATTGTTTCGAAAATTATCTCAGTATGGAGATATATTGTAAAATATACTTGCGCTGCACCTGCAAAGCACTCCATAGTTCCGGAAGAGGAGGAAATGTTAGATTTCCCTTCTGATCTCAGGAAGCAGTGGACTTCATATCCTCCTGCTTCCGGTTCCCACAGAAAGATGCCCTTCTTTCACACAGAGAGTTAGAGATTTCAAATTTGTGGTAACATTCCTTTTGCTATGCTATAGAAGGACAGAGATTCACAGAGGAGAACAGCTACAAGTTCCTGAATCCATTCCTTTCTCATTAATTGGTACTTACAATAACTCACTCTTAAGACATTTGTAGGAGAATGAGTAAAAAATGTAACTGCTTACACTAATGAACAGATCAACAGCAAACAAACAACTGACACCACCTGACTAAAGAGAGGGAAAGAAAAACTCAGCAGAAAGGCAGGGTTCTCTTTGAAATCAAAGGTTGAAAAGAAGGGTGGAAAGAGAATTACCCCAGACCACAAAAGTCCCTCCCAGTCACACAAACTATAGCAGCATGCGAGGTTGCAAATAAAACTCTAGCAGAGAGGACAGGAGGCAGGGCATGAGCTGAGTATGGAAGGTTTTGATTCTATAAGATTAAATCCATCCCAGTCTCTGACTACTCTATTCCATGGGATGAAAGTTATGCTATATGTATAATCTAAACAATTTCCCTCCACTTGTTTGAAAGGGGAAGTTTATTTAAAAAAACAAACAAACCACACAATCCTACCAGCCCTCGGGTTAAAAGTATGTCACTCTTCCCTTTTTTCCACCATGCAGAGTGATAGGGCTGTCATCTTAGTAAAGCGTAGAAGTCATTTTATCAAGGACTTTGAAGAATTTCAATGAAACGGGGGACAAGAATTCTTCTGCCAGAGATTTCCTCTAGAGCTCAGATTCATAACATGTTTGAACAAGGCTTTGACAATGATGGGAGTGGGGAGATTGGAAGTGATTCATCTGAACCTTGCTCCCTGAGTTGGACCTCTGCTAGCTGCCTGCCTGTTTGCATGGAAGTAAAGCACAACAGGCAGGCCCTCTGAGGGTTCCGCTGAGCACCTGGGCCATTTCACTTTTAAAGGCACATTCTTTCCTGTAAATATTGATACATGTACCCTCTGCCCTTTTTTTAAAGCAAAGAGATTGGCATTTCTGGAAGACTCTCATGAGCACAAATTTGCATGTAAACAAGAAGCACAGCAATCACACATCTTATTTGAAAAGAAAACTTTTTACTGTTAAAAAAGGCAAAACATTTGGCCTCTCTCAGTAGCTGCTGTAGCTGAAGAGCTTGGAGGGAAAAGGTTCGGGGGGGGGGACTGTAAAAATGGATGGGAAGCATTTGAAGCCCATGGGCTGTGTATTGCCCACCCACCATGTAGACTGAAGCATCCCCATTAAAAAGCAATGGGGATTTGTGAACATGGTGCCAGTTAAGACAATATTGGATGATCATCAAGAATAAACAGATGGCTTTATTTAGAATTCTACACACACCAGCTAGGTTGGCTGGGAGGCATTCTCAGAACTGGCGTACTACATATGTGGAAGGGCTACACCGGTGAAAGTGGAGTTAAATAAAGGCTAGCAATAATATACAATATTAAAGGCACAGCACTTTAATGAAAAAGAATTCAGAATAAGGAAAAAAGTAGTATGAAATGGTTGTTGTGGGTTTTTCGGGATCTTTGGCCATGTTCTGAAGGTTGTTCTTCCTAACGTTTTGCCAGTCTCTGTGGCCACCATCTTCAGAGGACGGCACTCTGTGCTCTGGTGTAGTTTGCTTGGGAGTGGAGTATTTATGGCTGTGAGATAGGCTTTTGTCCTTTTTCAGGAGATGGGTGATTAGTGTGTCTTGTTGTGGGTGTATTGCTGTGATAAGGAAGAGAGATTATCTGTCACTGTGATTGATGGGTGTAATTAGCTGGTCTTTTGTGTGTAGTGATGCCCGGTCCTTGTGGCTGGGTAGAGTTCGTTGACCTTTTGCACGCTGTATTTTTGAGAGCTGAGAGCCAAGTTTTGTTGAGTTTCAAACTTTCATCTTTTTTGTTG